AATTTATAGAAAACTTCAACACCTCAACAGCAAAAAGATAAACAATACAATTAAAAATTGGGGAAAAAAATGAACAGACACTTCACCAAAGAAGATATTCAGGTAGCCAACAACACATGAAGAAATATTCGTAATTATTAGTCATTAGAGAGGTGCAAATCAAAACAACAATGAGATACCATCTTACCCCAGCAATAACAGCAAAATTCAACAAGGCAGAAAGTAACAAATGCTGGTCAGGATGTAGAGAGATTGAGACTCTCATACACTGCTGGTGGGACTGTAAAATGATACAACCACTGTGGAAAATGGTATGGCAATTTCTTAAAAAGTTGGAAATAGAAATATCATTTGATCCCTCAATCCCATTACTAGGTATACACCTTAAAGAAGTGAGAGCCAGGAAATGAATAGATATATGCACACCCATGTCCATTGCATCGGAAGGAAGTTTGGGCAATCTACTTCCATAGTGATACTACCTCAGAAACCCAGGGAGGTGTTGGGTCCAACTCAATGGCAAATAACAACAACAATGTTCATCGCAACACTGTTCATAACAGCAAAGAGATGAAAACAACCTAAGTGTCCATCAATGGAGGAACGGATAATCAAACTATGGTACATACACACAATGGAATACTATGTTGTTGTTGTTGTTATTATGCCAGTTTCTCTCTATGTAGGTGAAGGCTATGTTGTTGTTGTTGTTATTTGCCGTCGAGTCAGCCCCGACTCATAGCGACCCCTCCTTGGGTTTCCGAGGCAGTATCACTACGGAAGTAGATTGTCCAATCTTTCTTCCAAGGAGTGGCTGGTGGGGTTGAACCACCAGCCTTCTGGTTAGCAGTCAAGTGCCTTAGGCACTATGCTACCAGAGCTCCCTAAAGAATAATGTACAATCCATGAAATACTACATAATATGGATGAACTTGGAGTACATTGTGCTGAGTCAATCACAGAAAGACAAATATTGTATTAGTGCTATTGTAAAAAGTCAAGGAAAGGTTTACATATGGAAGGAAATTTTCTTTGTTTGTTACCAGGGATGGGAGGGAGGAAAGGGAAAATTACTAGAAACGTAAGAGACAAGCATTGATTTCGGTGAAGGGAAAGGCAATATACCAAAAGTGAGTGACCAATAAAGTAGCACTAAGGAAAAGGAAGACACAGAGAGGTGCACAAGAGGTATGGACAACAAAGATAAAAACTTTTACATACACAATACTGCATTATCAGTAATAACAAACATTAATCTACAGATGGATACATAGGTAGACAGGCTAAATGATCAGGATATGTGTGGGCAAAAGGGAATATAGCCATGACCAAATATAAGTTTGGCAGACGATATTTCTACATACATATTTTTAAGTACTATAAAAATATCCATATATGTATGTAATAGAGCTAATGGAGCAAAGTGAGGATAACCTCTTAAAAAAAACCCAAACCAAACTCACTACCATCAAGTCAGATCCAACTCATAGTGAGCCCTCCTTGGGTTTCCGAGGCAGTACCACTACAGAAGTAGATTGCCCAACCTTCCTTCCAAGGAATGGCTTGAACTGACATGTGGTTTGAACTGACAGCCTTCTGGTTAGCAGTCAAATGTCTTAGACACTACACTACCAGAGCTCGCAATCTCTTAGCCATAGCCAAACACCTTGAGGGAAGGAGTCACTGGGACCGTGGGCTCAGGACCATAGTTTCAGGACACATCAAGCTCAATTGGCATAACATACTACACAAAAACAATGTTCTGCATCCTACTTTGGTGAGTAGTGCCTGGGGTCTTAAAAGTTTGCAAGTAGCCATCTAAGATGCAACAATTGGTCTCTCGTCCAGAGTAAAGAAGAATGAAGAACCAGAGACACATGGAAACAATTAGTGCAAAGGACTAGTGGACCATGCTAACCTCAGCCTACATGATCCTGAGACCAGAACTAGATGGTGCCCAGCTACTGCTGTCAATCACTTGGAAAGGGATCAAAATAGGAGATCTTTGATAGAGTGGGAGAAAAGTATGGAACAAAACTCCAAATCATTAAGAAGACCAGGCTTACTGATCTGTTAGAGACTGGTGAAACTCCGGAGATTATGGCCCCTAGTCACCTTCAAGCCTGGAATTGAACTCACTCACTCCTGTGGCTTCTGGTCAAACAATAGACAGGCATATAAATTGAACATTTACATAAGGTAGGTGCACTCCTTAGAATGATCAAACATAGGAGATCAAAAAGGCACTATTTGTACAAGGAGATAGCTCAGAAAGCAGGGAAAAGGTAACCACAGGGGGGAAGTGTAAAGAGATGTGTTGCATTGTGGGGATTGCAATCAATGTCATGAACAAAATATGTATGAACTGTTGCATGGAAAATGAATTTGTTCTGTAAATTTTCACCTATATCACAATTAAAAAAAAAAAAAAAGCTAGCAAATTTCTAGACCTTGTATTCCAGAATATTTCTATGTATATTATAAAAGCCTAGAGTCAAGAGTCCAGGCCTGTCTCCTAGACTTTCTTCAGCAGAGAAGCTCGGGTGGTTGCATCCTCATACCTGCCATCAGTGGGAAAGGTTTCTGAGTTCTGGGGCATGCTTTCCTAGTATCTGCTGCACATGCATATTATTTGGGCACCCACCTGCCACACACACAGGCATGGGCATGCCCTCCCTAGTAGCTCCTCTATGACACTCAGAGGTGGGGAAGCATAATGTGGAACATCGAGATGTTTTTGCCTGTCAAGGAGAAGCATCACCTCAGACTTGAATCAATTTCCCCCTCCTGGGCCTCAGTTCCCAAGATCACTGCTAACCAGAAGGCTGGCGGTTCAAACCCACCAGCCACTCCTCGGAAGGAAGGTTGGGAAATCTACTTCCATAGTGATACTGCTTCAGAAACCCAAGGAGGGGTCACTATGAGTCAGGTCTGACTCGACGGCACATAACAACAACATATAGCCATCATTTTACAGAGCCTACTTCAGGGGGTTTCAAAGGATAAGAACCAAATACAAGTGAGACCACGTATTTTTGAGAGACTGTTAGTTAAACAAATGTCCAAGGGTACCTCCATATTTCCCAATCTCCCTTGTTTGTTAGGTTGCTGCCATTTGACAATGCTAACGGGATGTGGGTTGAAAGATGTAAGCCACCTCCAGGCCTGGCCCTTAAAAGCTTCCCATGCAGTTCTCCAGCCTTGTCTTCTGTGCCTCTAGCCTTCTTTTCCCCTGCCATGGCAACCTTGGAGGCCTCATGTCTCTGATGGCAGAGCTACAAGATGGAGAAGTCCTCCCAACCTATATTGGACTTTGCATAAGTGAGAAACAGGTTTTTATTGTGTTTAGTCACTGAGATTTCAGGTTAATCTGTTTCCTCCATCTAGCCTAGCCTACCTGACACAGTACATGATTAGGAAAACATTTGTCCTGAAGAAGCTATGCCTGCGGTCCCTATATACCTATATCCACTTCCATTACTTGTGAAGACAGCACTGTCCAGAAGCTCTGCTTGCAAATAAGTGAAGAAAGGAGAAAACCCTGTTCAACCTCATGCTTATTTGTTCTGTCACCAACAGATAACAAGGGCATTTCCAGAAAAGCAGTTGTCCCTTGCATGCTGAAGAGGAGTTACTCCTCCTTAAAGTATTATAGAAAGTCTGCTGTGCAAGAAACTATGTGGATAAAAAGATGCACGAGACATGAGCTCCGACTCCTGAGAGCTCCTAGTCCCTTTCTGGTGGGTAGTGGGAGGGCGGGAGGGAGAATGGAGGCAGGTACAAAATTAACTCACAGGAAGAACACAGATAACCAAACCGTCTGTGATAGAAGGTCGCCATGTGGATACAGGCACTAACTGATACTCACTTGAATAGTGAAACCCATGAACAAAAGGCCATTTCAGACCAGAGGAAAAAGCAGTGGGTTTGGTGTGAAAAGATCTAGATTCAAATTCCATGTCTACCACAGAAGAGCTTAGGCTAATGTTTAAACTCTCTCAAAACCTCAATTTTCTGCTTTGGGGAAAATAATATTTGCCTTTTATCACTGATGGAAGCATTAGATTCAAACATGTTTGAAGACTACCCAATGATGTTTTTATTCTCTTTTACAAACAAAAAGTATCTTTGCACACCACAGGAAAAAAACTATTTGCCGTGAAATGGATTCTGACTCATGGAGACCCCATGTGCATCACAGTAGAACTGAACTCTGTAGGGTTTCCAATGGCTGTGATTTTCAGAAGTAGTTCACCAAGACTTCTCCTAAGTGCCTCTGAGAAGATTTAAACCAACTGGGATGGATTACCCCATAAGCAAGTTAAGCATGGGTTTACTTGTGCTTACTTACTAATCTGAAACTATTTATAACAGATCAGTAAGTAAGCTCATACTTACTTTGCTCACTGGGTATGCCATCTCTGTCAGGGATATATAAATTTGAAGAGGCTTTGATTCTGTAGGTTGGGCAATCTTCTTCCGTAGTGATACTGCCTCAGAAACCCAAGGAGGGGTCGCCATGAGTCAGATACAATTTGACAGCAGTGGGTTGGGTTGGGGTTGGTTGATTCTGTAGGGAAGTGCTGTGGGATTGGGAGACAGACAGACGCCAGCCATACCTACAATCAGAATCTTTGATGTGCCAAAAAAATGTTCACTACAGATTAGTTAGTAAACACAGGTAAACCTGTAATCTGGCACTATAAACCACTAACCTTTTAGTTAGTCACCCAAATGTGGTTACTGAGAGGATGACAGTATAAATAAGACCATCCCCCAGTGTTGCCTGAAGTGGGGAAGGCAGATGCAGCACTGGCGGGGGTAGGGGGCCGGGCTCCCAGCAGTAATCTACACCAAGCTGACACCCACGCTCCAATCAGGAGGCTGTGATAAGCAGAAGGACATCAGAGCCACTCTGGGAAGCCAGTGTGAGTTGAACCTTGCCCCAGGTGGCTTGTCACAGTGAGTGGACAGGAGAAGGCTCTCCTCAGCCAAACGCCATGGCAAGAGGGCTGTATCTCATCCTGCTCGGTGTCTCCTTGGCTGGACTCCTGCTGCCTGGGGCAAGTGGTAAGCAGCCCCCCCCCCACCAGGCTGCCCTTGGGCAACTGCAGATGTTCCTCCCCCTGGGTGGGAAGTATGGGTGATCCCAAGAATCTGGGTCATGGGGGCAGTGAATACCCCTTTCTCATTGTCAAGGACAGTGTGAAACAGCTCGGCTCTTTACCGTATTTTCCAGCTAAGAATAGACATAGAACCAGCTGCTTCTTGCTGTGGGCGAGGGGGTCAGATGGGCATTTCAAAGGGCACAAAGACACAGATAGATAGAAACATGGAGACAGAGACAGAGGAAGAGAGAGGGAGAAAGTGACAAAGAAACACATGTTCCTCCCTCAAATGCCAAAACAAACTGAGGAGAAACTGCTGGGGGTGGATTATTAGGCAATGAGGAGCTTCCCTGGCAAGGAAGAGAGAAAGAGAAAAGGATCCATGGCCACCACCCTCAGGCTTGGAGAAAGAGCAGCAAAATGGAGGCCAGATTGACAAGGCCCTCTGGGCCATCCAGGACATGTAGGCCCAGGTGAAAGGAAGAAATAAAAGCAAAGTCACCAGAGACAGTAGAAGAAGAGGCCAACCAGCAGGCTTTGGGACTTGTTTACATGTTAAATAAAGTGAAAGCAAAGGAAAGCTGAGGAGAAAACAAGGAACATGCACCTCATGGAAGAGAACTCAGATATTTGAGAAATGGAAAAAATGGTGAAAAGTGAGAAAGAAGAGGGAAAAAAAAGAACAGAGGACAGATAGGTAGAAGAACCTGAAAAGAGGCAGATGCATTTATGGGAACAAAGTTTGACCTGCATACAGTGTCCTTCTGCTCTGCCGATACACTTCTGCTGATGTGTCCATTTCTTCATGAGACCCATATGAAGCCCCAGTTCCAGTAAAATCCAAATGCCTTTCCTGGCATTCAAGGCCTCCACAATCATACTCTGGTCTTACCCTATCTGCTCAACGATCTGTTCCATTCCTCTCCCACCAGTCTCCATCCCACCCAGCCATTCCCATCACTAAAGCTGCTCCTGAGGCTTGTCTCCTGCCAATTCATATCCTCCCCAACACTCCAGCCTAATTCATGTTAGCATCATCCCTGACACCTCCACCTTCCCTCATCAGCACCCACATGCCGCATCCTCTCTGCCATGTGTGATTACTTCCAGGTGTGCCTACATGACCAAGCATGGTTGGCAGATGGTTTCCTGAATGCAGGCCTTGACTCTGGGAGAAAACAGTCAACCGCCCAAAGGCAGGGACCAGGCAGTCTACTTTCTTTTTCTGTCCTCAGAGGCCACATCATCTGTGTTGTCAGTACAAATGTAACTGAATGACGTTAAATTGTCCCACATATTCCTACTCTTGCTCAACTGATGATTGTCCCTTCTTCACAAACCGTTTGATGGCTGTGACACTGTCCTTGTTTGTGGTGATGGCCACTTTGACAGATTCTCAAGTGGCTAAAGTTTGGGCCAGAAGGCTGAGCCTAAAGGTCAGGCTAATTGTCCAGTCCTTCCTTCATTTATTCAACAAATATTAAGCATATACTGTGTCTTCAGGCACTGGAGACACACAAGTAAATGAAATAGAGTAAGTACTTTTTGTCACATAGTTTACATTCTAGTTGTGGGAAAACAGGCAATGTATCTGTTGATGTATAATGTCAGAGAGTGGTAAGTGCTATGAAGAAAAGAAATCAGAGTAAAGGGTTAGGGAGAGATGTGTATAAGAGGCAACTTTGGATAAAGTGGTCAGGAAGGGCCTCTTGAGGGACATTTGTGGGACTGAGCCATGGAGATATTTGAAAGAAGAGTGTTCCAGACACAGAAAACTGTCAGTGCAAAGGCCCTGGGTAAGAGAGTGCTTGGTATGTTTAAGGAACAAGGAGGTCAATGTGGCCGGGTGAGAGATGAGTGAGGCTGCAAGAAGAAGGTAAAGAGGTCAGAGAAACAGTGGGAACCAGAGAGGGAGGCTTTGGTGAAGACTTTTGGTTTCATTCTAAGGATAGTGGAGAGCAATGACACTTAGCTTAGTGTAAGGTTTTGAAAGGAGAAGTCACACTCCAGTTCTTGGCTTCCTTGGCATCATCCCTTCCACCAGCACTCCTGTGCCTGTCACCCAGGCCTTCCTCCTCTCTCACTGGCAATTTAGCTCAAGTGCACATATGCTTAGTACCTAGGCCAGTTGGGAAGAGGCAAGATCAGGCTTTGTGGAGGAGGGAGGAGAAAATAGGATTTGGATGGGAAACACAAAGGAGGAGAGAATTATTGGTGGCAGAAAAATAAGAGAGAATGCTCAGGGATAAGAATGTCAATGAGAACATGGATGTGGCCTGGCATACTGGAATGGAAAGTTCCTTTAAGGGATCAGAAGAAGAAAAGAAGGCCTGGCCAGGTGGAGTGAGATTATCAGGCCCTTGCTGAGTGGTAACTAGTCCCTTGAGGCAGTCCATGGAAAATCACTTTGGTTCTAGGGAAGTGGAAACAAAACAAAAAGTAGATAATCTGGCACTGAGGATGTAGGGCCATGTGGAAGGGATAGAGACTCAAGCAGTGGTTTTCAAACTTGTGTGTACTGAATGTCCAAGAAATGCATTAAAATATAAATTTCTAATTGCCCCATCCTCCTGGAATGCAGGTGGACCATGGGTCGCAATTTGAGAAACATTAGACTAAGGCTCAGATACAGGCCTGAGTTGTTAATTCCAATATGAGAGAGAGGAAGAGAGGAGTGGGTATGTGAACAGACATGCAGGACAAATGTGAGTTGTACTGCAAATACATCTTACTTGTTCCTCAACCATACAGAGAAATGAATCCCTGATACACATCACAACGTGGGTGAACTTTGTTCATTATACTGAATGAAGTAAGTAAGTCACAAAAGGGCAAATATTGTATGATCTCACTTATATGGAATAAGTAAACATACAGAAACCAAAGATTAGTAGTAGTGATTGGGGTAGAAAGGAGGGTAAAAGGAGAATCTTTTGCTTACAGGGCATTGAGTTGATGTTAATGGTGGTAGCACAATTTGGAAAAGGGGAGGAAGAAAGGACAAACAACTCAAAGCATATAATCAATGTCACTGAATTGTACATGTAGAAATTGTTGAACTGGTGTATATTTTCACCACAATAAAAAAATTTTTTTTTTCAATTTATAGGATAAGACTTTGTAGGGAATTTGAAGAGTAATAGGGAGGGATCAACAAATAGCAAGTCTGAGAGCCTTGTGTTGTTAGATGTCACTGAAAGAAATGGGGAATTAGAAGACAGTAATTTGAAGGAGGAATGAAGGTAACATTTATTGAGAACTTAGTGTATATTGAACTCAACATTAAGAATTTTATATACTTAAAGAAAAAAACTCTGAGAAATAGAGTATTATCATTTCCCTTTACCAATAGTAAGCAGTTGGTGACTTCAAAACCCAAGACTGTTTGATTCTGAAATCTACTTTTCAGTTTGGGGAGCTTGGAGTTCTGAATGAGGGGGAATAGTTGAAAATATGGCGTTCAAGATGAAAGTCAGTACCAGAAACATCAACTTGGAAGGTCATCTTTGTATGATGAGACTGTCTGAGTTCTGTGGGAAAAAAAAAAAAAAAGGCAGAAAGAGAAGAGCAAAGGGCCAAGAAAAGAATCCTGAGGGTCTTCCAGAACCATAGTGAAAGGATGAAGAGCAGTCAGGCAATGAGAGACAGAGGAAGTACAGACAGAGAAGTGGGAGGTAACATGGTCATAAATATTCACGGTAGAAAGGATCATGGAGAGGGAGTTCCGGCAAGATGGTGGACTAGGCAGAAGGACTGCACAGATGCTCTTCAACAAAGAAAAGGGAAACCAATTAACACAGACACAGAATATAATCTTGGACCCCTGAGCCTTGAAGGGAAGGATACAAAAGGGGACTAAACCCCAACTAGCAGAAGAATTTGCGTGAAAATACCAAAAAAGGAGA